TGGAACGGTCGCTCGGCCAGTACATTGCCTGGTGAGTATCCTCGCAACTGTGGGCGACTCTTACTTGAGCTACAATCCAGGCACGACTTCACATGTTTCTCCACGTCCGCGTACAACCCAATCCAGTAATAGTCGGACTTAACACGATAGAATGTCCTGATGACGCCTGGGTGACCACCTTCCAACAAGTCGTGGCAGTTCTATAATACTTCTTGAATCATCGTGGTAAGTACCACTAGACGCAGCTTGGTCTCCTCTTGCCACCCGTGGTCGTATCGCCGGTTTAAACCCAGGTAGTGAAGCACACCATCTTCTGACAGAACAAATCGGCCTGTATATTTCCATGCATTTCGAGCTTCTTTGTAGCTCATCCGTTCTGCTTCTCCTCGAAGCACTTTCTTCAGGTTCGCCCACTTCTGTTCTTCGTCCTGCGCCTTGGCTATTTGTCGGCGTCGCTCTCGTTGTATCTCTACTGGGTCGACATCATCCGCACCAGGTGATGATGGCCGCTTAGTGCTGGAGGATTTGTCTTGTGAAATGTCATTAGGAGAATGCTCGTTGACTACTCCATCACGGTCTTTACTCTGTTCTTGGTCTTTAGGCGGTTGTTCCGAATGTTCATCGGCGAATCGGACACGTTTAGCCTTGGCTTGTCGTCTGGTCATTACTGCAATAGCTCCGATGGTGTTCATTTTGCTCGAATTATCGTCGGTCACGAATTTTTCAAAAGTCTTGCGTGGCGAAAGTACGTTGCCGGCTAGCACATGTACATAGCGCTCTTCCTGACATGGTCCAACTTCTGCTGAGTCTTCATTTAGTTCGTAGATCACTTATTGTATGCGGTTCAACGTCACTAACTCCGGTTTTCGTGTTTCAGCTAATATGACTCGACTAACTTTCGACTCCAGAGCCTCGGTGGCTAGCGGATCAGCGACAGCGTTATATTCTCGCACGACGTGAAGGTATTTAACTGGTAGTAGCTTTACCGTGTGTTCTTTGTGCGTATTCAGCAGTGCCATCAGGGACTCCTTCCGACATGCTATCACCCCTAGAGATTGCTGGATCGGGAGCATTGAGTCGCCTACTATGACTAATTCCTCGGCACCATGTGCTAAGGCCGCTTTGACACTATTGTTCATTCCAGTATACTCAGCTAGGTTTACCGTAGTAGACGGGAGGTAAGCGTTCGCAGCGATCACTATTTTCCACTCCGCCAAACTCTACCATCATATTTCTCTGATGTGATCCATCGAACGATAAGACGAATCCTCGGTAGTCGCGTGGTAGCTTCGCGTAGAGCGGTGATGAATCCATGCGAATCTACGGTGAGGTTTTGTTTGGTGGGGCCAGTGGCACCAGCGTTTCTTCCAAATGCACGAAGTTTGTTATGGTAGATTGGAGAAGCTGAGCAAAGGTCACATCCTCTTCTTTGACTCGTTCTACGATCAGGTGCCACGGCGACAGCAGTACTGCAGATTGTACGGCACGACCGAACAATAACTTGGACTTGTGGACCCAGGCTAGTGTCGAAAAGCCTTGTATACACATGTAACGTTTTTCCAGCAAGCTGCGTGTAACACGTCTTCAATAGCAAAAGAAGCGCTAGTACCTCCTTTTTCCGCTGGATGGTAGTTCATCTCAGAGTCCTTGAGCACTCGACCGAGGAATTGTACGGGGTGTAACTTGCCTTCGTGTTCTTGCATAGGTGTTGTGCTCAACGCCCATTCATTGGCGAAAAACATCACATGAACGTCCTTTGAT